CGTGCCACAAAGTGGCCCTGGTTGGCAAACTCCTAGAGGAGATAAAAAGGAGAGCTGAGATTATCTGAGCCAGAGGGTAATGCCAGGCTCCCCTCCCCATCCAGAGTCTCTGCCCTTCCACACTTCAAGTCAGCTGAACACTGGGCCTTCATTTAACCCAGGCAAGCCCTGGCTTTGGGGTAGAAGAACTGGAGTCAAATTCTAGTCCCATCACTGACACGGCAAGCTCGTGAATTCCCTGAGCTTCAGTTTTCTCAATTGCTAAGTGGGAGTAGCCTCCCAGGGCAGTGGGGGAGCTGTTCCAGTGTTCGGGGTGGCTCCTCTCCCAAACTGTGAGGAGGGAGATCCAATAAGCTTGGGGCTCAGGAAGATGAGTCTGAACCCCGGCTTTACTACTTATGGTGTGATCATCTCATTTCTCTGAACCTCATCTGCAAAGCACAGTGAGAACCGCTCCTTGCAGGATGCCTGTGAGGATTTGGTGAGCTCAGGCCAGCCAGGGCCTAGTTTGAGGCAGTATGCTTGTTAAATGTTTTCTTCTGCTTTTCTCCCTATGCCTTTCTTGGGGCAGACAGCCTCTCTGCCTTGTGTGCTGGCCTCTTCCCCTCCTTATTTGTACAATGGAAGGGTTAAGGCTGCTGTCATTGTTACATGTCATAGGCATGCATGGGGGAAACCAGGAGTAATCTGCAAAGTAGCAAACATAATTCCTAATGGCAGCACAACAGTAGGGGCTGATGGGGGTGGTGGGAGGTGTTCCCATTTGCAAAATCCACCCTGTTTAAGCCTTCCACGGAGGCTTGGTTTGACCTCTCTACATCTGGTTTTTATAAAGCACCCATGGGCTGGGTTGGGACCAGTGAAGGAAAGAGAACCTAGGCCCCTGAGTACACTCTTGCATGCTCAGTGGAGGAGCAAGGGCAGTCCTCTACAGACAGGATGTGTGTGTGAGTGTGTGCAAGTCCTCCACCCCTACTTCTCAGAGAAGAGAAGAGTTCCAGGGCACTGGAAGCCTTCAAGAAACTTCCTCTCTGGGTTACTCTAATTCTGAGTCTGGTTCCTGTCCAAAGCCTGAACAGTAGCTGTGGGCATGGTAACTAGAGTGCTTTGGAAGTCGGAACACCAGTGGTTGCTAGCTCAGTGAAGTGGCCCTGAAGCAAGTGACTACCCCTCTCAGCCCTTGGCCTTGCCTCTGAATCTTTCAGTGGATGCTTCCACACATGAAGGAATCAAATTAGGAGTCAGATTGTGTTGCACCATTCCCCAGGCCTCTGCTTCTAACCACTAACCCAGATGGTCTTATTATCCCACCAATCTGATTCATGTCCCTCCCTTGGCTGTCCATCCCCCACAGGATGGACACATTTCATAGCCCTTCAGATCTGGTCCCTGTCAACCTTGCCAATCTCATTTCCTATTCCTTCCCCACCAGTACAGCCTCTTCCAACCACATCAGGTGCTCATAGTTCCTACCTCCTGACCTTCACCTATGCCAAAGCCTCTGCCTGAACACCCTTTCCCTTCTTTGCCTAGCAGATCAGACTTCTTGTCTCGAACCCCAGAAGCAGTGCCATCTCCAGTTTACCATTTCTTCCTCAATGCTCCCATAACACTTTATCCAAGACATAAACTCTACCGTATGCATTCATCCTTCAGTCCAACACAGACTGAGCCACTCTGCAGAGCTAGATCCTGTACTGGGGCTCAGAGTGATGAGGTCCATGCCCTGGGGGAGCTCCTGGCTCAGCAGCGAGGCAGACACTGCAGGTCCAGAATGACAGCACAGCCTCTCACGTTTGCCAGCACTGCAGCCTGCTTTCAGTCTTTGGTTTGGGGACACCATTTCTTGATTGGATTTTATTGAGGGCAGGAACTGGGTCTGATGCCCTTCTCTGTCCTCCCCTGATCCAAAGAGGATGCTCAGGAAAAGTAATAGATGAATGTGGGATCTGAATGTTTCCTGAAGTCTTGTGATTTTAGATACTGATGTCTTTTTATTTTTCTAAGTTTTATTGATTTTGTTGTTGTTGTTCAGAATATACACAGCAAAACATAAGCAAGGCAACAGTTTCTATATTCTAGTGACATTGATCACCTTCCTCTTCTGAGTTGTTCCTCCCTCATTAACATAAGCTCACTGACCCCTAAGGTCATCTTCTGAGGTGCTATTGTCAATGTGACCCCGTAGTTTGTTTTTTTTTTTAAAGAGCATGATGCTCAAGATAGATCTTTTTTTCACTAAGTAAGCTAACGTATTGTTTGATTTTCAGCTGACTTCAGGGAATATTTTTGGTTTGAAAATTTTAATTATCAAAAGAGAAAAAAATTAAAAATGATCTCAGGGAACAGCTTCATGGGCTCATTCACCTTTCATAGCTCCAGAAACTGTAGTCTGTGAGAATTTTAAATTCAGTTCTGCATTTCCCTGACTTTGAGCAGGATTCTTCTACAGAAACTTTGACCAGATATCCAGTGATGGTAGCCAGACATCATCCAGTTCTTCTGGTCTCCAAGGAGGTATGGAGACAAGGAGCCACACATTCCATATCCTCCTCTTGTTCCTGATTCTCCTTCTTCATCTATTGCTCCAGGTGAATAGAGACCAATTGTTGTGCCTTGGATGGCCCCCTTGTAAACTTTTAAGCCCCAGGTAGCACACAATGAACTAGAAGGTAGAACAGAGCACTGTCATTAAGCCAATTAACTGGTATATTCCCTGAAACCATGGCCCTAAAGCTTCAAGACAAGAAACCAAATTGCAGGAGGTATAAACAGCCTCAGCAACTACTCTTTTTGTTGTTGTTGTTGTTGTTGTTGTTGTTGTAAATGCATCTATTATACAACTTTTGCCAATCTACTTTTGCCAGGTGTACAATTTATGTATAGCAATTATAATAATCAGCAGGACCATCCTACCTATGATCAATGCAATTTCTCCATCATCATCAATGTCTCTTTCCCCACTCACTCCTGCCCTTAGTAACTACTAGTAAACTTTGTTCTCTATTGTTTGCCTTTTCTTGTCTTTTTTATAGAAAGGAGGTAATCTAATATTTGTTCTTTTTGATTGTTGATTGGCTTATTTTTCTCAGTATAATGTCTTCAAGCTCCATTTAGACTGTAGCATGTATCAGAACTTCCTACTGGTTGAATAGTATTCCACTGTGTGTGTAGACTACATTTTGTTTAGCCATTCATCTGTTGATGAGCATTTAGGTTGTTCCTACCTTTTGGCTATTTTGAATTGCAGCCAGAGTGCTCCTTGGAGGCCAGGATGGCCAAGCTTCATCTCTCATACTTCGGACATATTGTCAGGAGGGACCAGTCACTGGAGAAGGATATCATGTTTGGTAAGGTGGAGAGTCAGAGAAAAAGAGGAAGACCCCTAGTGAGATTGACTGGCAAAGTAGCAGCATCAATGGACTCAAGCATGGCAACACTTGGGAGGTTGGCCCAGGACCAGGCAGTGTTTTGTTCTGTTGCACATAGGGTTGCTGTGAGTCGCTACCGATTCGATGGCACTTACCACCACCAACAACAACTTTCAAGTCTTCTCAGTATATATGTAGCAGTGGAATTGCTGGGTCATATGAGATCCTAGTGTGGTGCTGTAGGATAAGCACTAGACTGCTAACTACATGGTTTTCAGTTCAAATCCAGCAGTCACTCCTCAGAAACCATGTACAGGGCTACTGTGAGTCAGATCCCACTCACTGGCACTTAATAACAACAGCCTGGTAGTTCTATTTTTAAGTTTTTTAGAAACTGTCACTATGTTTTCTATAACAACGATACTATTTTGTGTTCCCATCAGCAATGGATGAGGGTTCCAATATTATTTTTTGTTCATCTTCTTCTTTTAAAATCTTAGCCATCCTAGTGAGAATATAATGGTATAACAGTATCTCATTTTGTTTGGATTTGCATCATTTGATGGTTAAGGATGCTGAGCTTCTTTTCATGTGTTTGGTACCTCTGGTGAAATGTATATTCAAGAATGTTCTCTTTGGTGAAATGTATATTCAAGTCCTTTGCCTATGATTAGATTATTTGGCTGGAGTTTTATATAAATTCTGGTTCTTAGAATACTGTCAGATATATGGTTCTGAAGATATTCTCCTAATTGGTAGCTTGTCTTTTCACTCTTTTGGTAAAGTCTTTTGATGAACAAAAGTTTTCAATTTTTATGAAGTCCCATTTATTTATTTTGTCTTTTGCTATTTGTGCTTTTATTACAATATTAGATAACCCATTGTTGAAAGCTTCGCTTGCCAGCATTGTACTGCTTGTTCTTTCAAAGAATTTTATGGTTTGAGTTTGAGCATTTAGGTCCTTAATCCATTTTGCATTTGTTTTTGTGCATCTTATGAGATGTGGATCCTGCTTCATTTTTCTGCATGTGGAAATCTAATTTTCCCAGTGCAGTTTATTGAAGAGACTTCTCGTTTCCCATCAAACAGATTTAGCACCATTGTAAAAAGTCAGTTGGTCATAGCTGTGTGTTTATTTCTGGACACTCTATTCTACTCCATTGATATATGTTTCTATTATTATATTAGTGTGGTGAATAATATGCTTGCAAATCATTTGTTCTTCTCTTTCAACATTGTTTTAACTATTTTGGGTTTCTTGCCATTCCATACAAAGTTGAAGATTGATTGGTTTTTCTATGTCTGTAAAGGAGGTTGTTGGAGTTTGGATCAGGATTGCACTGAATCTACAGGCTGTGTTGAGTAGTATTGACTTTATAACAATGTTGTCTTCCAACCCATGAGCATGCAACATCTTTCTATTTATTTAAGTCTTCTTTAACCTCTTTCAGCAGTGTTTTCTAGTTTTCATTACATAAAATATCTTATTTTTCATAGCACAGTGCTAATATCCTTTATATGCGATTTCAGTTAATCTCATCTACTCAAGTGAAGTCACTAAGATAGGTATTGTGACCTCCATTTCATGATACAGAAACTGACACTTAGAGATGGACAATGTCTTGCTCAATGACACTTGGCAAGTCAGTGGCAGAGGTAAGGCTAGACTGCTAGACTGGCTCCTGCCTCCTAGCCCAAGGCTCTGCCTTTTGCATCAGTATATACTCTAAAGTGAAGGGATAGGCCATAGACTCCAGCTGAAGGTGTCCTCTGCAGTAGGCACAATCAATACACTAACTTGGGATCCTTCCAAGGATTTATTATGATGTTGTTTATCAGTGAGGATTTTTGTTTTCTTTATAGTGAGTTGTAATCCTGCATTCTTCATCAGCAAGTGCCTCTTTGATCTAAGCAAACAAGGTTATGCCATGTGGATATCGCAGGTTGCTAATGAGCCTTCCTCTGATCCTGCTATCATGGTCTTCATATACTCCAACATTCAGACTGAATAAGTATGAAGAGAGGATGCACATCTTGACACACACCTTCTCTGATTTTAAACCATTCAGTATCCCATTGTTCTGTTGGAACCACTGCCTCTTGGTCTATGTACAGGTTCTGCAGGAGCACAATGAACTGTTCTGGGGTTCCCATTACTTTCAATGTCATCCATAATTTGTCAGGATCCACACAGTTGCTCGCCTCTGCATAGTCAATAAAACACAAGTCAACATCTTTCTAGTATTCCCTACTTTCAGCCAAGATCCATCTGATTTCAGCAATGAGTTCAACTTTGTTGCTGCTGTTGAGTGCTGTCGAATCAATTCCAACTCATAGCGACTCTGTATAGGGTTTTCCAGGAGCAGCTGGTAAATTTGAACTGCCGACCTTTTGGCCCAGGGCATTATCCTGCGGTGCCACACCAGGACTCCTAATGAAGTCAACTGGTGGTGGTGGTGGTGAGCCACTGAGTCAGTTCGTACTCATAGCGACCCTGTATAGGGCTTCTGAGGCTGTAAACTCTTAAGAGAGCAGAAAGCCTCATGTTTCTCTCATGGAGCGACTGGTAGATCCGAACTACTGACCTTGCAGTTACCAGCTCAGTTTGTAGTCTACTGCACTACCAGGGCTCCTTGAAGTCCTGGTGTGGCACTGTGGGTAAATATGCTGGACTGCAAAGTTGGTTTGAATCGCAAAGTCGGCAGTTCAAATTCGCTACCCGAGCCTATGAATTGCTATGAGTCGGAACTGACTCAACAGCACTTAACAATAACCAGGGCACCTTAAAGGGTCCACTGTTGTTGTTGTTGTTGTTGTTAAGTGCCTTCGAGTCGGTTCCGACCCATAGCGACCCTGTACAGGGTTTCCGAGGGTGTAAATCTTTACCGGAGTAGAAAGCCTCATCTTTCTCCCGCGGAGCGGCTGGTAGTTTTGAACCACTGACCTTAAGGTTCGCAGCCCAATTCCACTCGAAGGTTCTAAAATCTAATCTTACCACTGTCATTTTCTTACATAAAGTTCTCCAAAGAACCTCACCTCCCACCTCAGCATCTCAAGAATGGCACTCAAGGACCTTCCTAAAATCAGGCCCCAGTCTCCCTTGTTTCAGCTCATTTTCCTTTTGTCTGGGTTCCAGCCACTGCCAGCCCCTTAGCCCAGCCTCAAACAACTCCTCCCCTTTTAAAAGACTTTCTGCCTGCCGGTCTCCATTCCCCGCCCCCCACCCCCCACACATACAATAACCACTTATATGGCCAACAAAAATAATTCCAGAGCACTTTGTAAGTCCCAGGCAGTATGCTAGGCTTTTTTCCGTATCTTGGTTCCTTTAGTTCCCATGTTGTTGCTCTTACGTAGCGTCGAGTTGGACTCATAGCGACTGTGTGCATAACAGAACGAAACACTGCCGGGTTCTGCACGATCCTCACAATTGTTATGCTTCAGCCGACTGTTGCTGCTACTGACTGTGTCAATCGTCTTGTGGAGGTCTTCTTCACTGACCCATACTTTGGACTGTTATCAGGAGTGACTGTGATCATGCTTTGTAAACTGGAGAGTCAGCAAAAAAAGAAGAAGACCTCAACGAGATGGACTGGCATGGTAGCAACCACAATGGGTCCGTGTGTAAGAATTGTGAGAATGGCGCAGGACCAGGCAGTGATTCGTTCAGTCCGGACTCACAGCGACCCTGGATAGGGTTTCCGAAGAGTAGCTGATGAGTTTGAACCGCCAACCTTGAGGTTCAAACCAACCTTGCAGTCTGTGCTTATCCTATAGCGCCACACCAAGACGCCAACAACAATATGTTGTTAAGTGCCATCAACCCGCAGCGACCCTGATAGGGTTTTTGAGGAGCAGCTGGCGAGCTTGAACCACCGACCTTGCGATTCAAGCCGACTTTGCAATCCAGTGCATTAACCCACAGCGCCACACCAGAACATACCACCACATAAGCTGTTATTCCTATTACAGATAGGAGTTCTGGTGTGGTATAAACATTGACTGCTAGCCAGAAGGTTAGTGGTTCAAGCCCACGAGCCGCTCTTCGGAAATCCTATATAGTCACTATGAGTCAGAATCGAATCAACGGTACTTAACAACATGTTACAGTGGAAACTGAGATTCAAATAAGGCAAGACCAAAACTGACACTCCACATCTACCAGTTTCCAAAGCTGTCTTGTACTGCTCTCTCTGGGATAGCGGTCTCTGGGAGAGTTAGAGGCAGGATCCTGTCTTTGTGGTTCCACTTTGGATCAGGCATTGCTGTCAACATCTGTGCGTGACTCCGGAAGGGCAGAACGTAGGCAGATGCACCTGCGTCCCCAGCATGCAGCCGTGCACAGAGGCCCTGAGGGATTGATTTCTTTCTTTTAATTTAATATTTAAAAAAAATTGATGTGTAATCATTGTTAAAGAAAAAAAGTGTAAATCTACATTCTTTAAAATGTTTTTTATTTATGTTGCTGCTCAGAATATACACAGCAAAACACACCAATCCAACAGTTTCAACATCAAGTTCAGTGAACTGAGTTGTGCATTCTCAGCATCCTTTTCCGAGTCGTTTCTCCCATTTAACATAAACTCACTGCCCCCTAAGGTTTGCATCGCTTTGATTCCACGAAGATAGTTCTTAAAAAGAGCACAGTGCACACGGCAGTCTTTTTTTGCTACTTTAGGTAAACTACTGTCTGGTTTTAAGAAGACTCCTGTGCACTTCTTGATAAACAGTTGGAAAGGTAAGGCAGTGTGTGGGTGGTTTAGGAGCTCAGCCCTAACTAACCCAGACGACCCGCCAGAAGCAGGACCTTTGCCTCTACAGTCTAGGCAAGGGCACTCAGTGGGGGAAAAAGAAAAACAGCCGCCTGCACGCCTTCGGACTGCCTTACACGTGCTGGGCTTCCTGGCCCTAGTTCCAGCTGCCCGGCCATACCAATTTCTATAGGAGAGGGAGGGATGAGGGCAGTCAGAGGGAATAGCTAGGATTAGCAAATTCTCTTGTTGAAATGGTTGGATTAAAGAGCTTGTCTCTCTGCCATTCCGCCCACCACAGTGTCCCCAGAGCTCTCTCCCGCCGGAGCAGAGTTAAGACCCAAGCGTCCTGCCATTCCGTCACATACCCCCCCCTCACAGAAGTGGTGCAGGCCGCGGGTTAGAACGCCCCGCCCCGGCCCGCCCCTTCTGTGAGGTTATAAAGTGCCGCGTTCCACGGTGCAACCGCGGAGGCTGTTGCCTCGGTGCCGCTCTCCGGAACGGAAAGGGCTGCTGCGGCTGCCTGTGCTTCCTGTGCTGGTAGCTGCCCTCGCTTGGGCGCTGTTCCCGGGCTCCCGTGCGCTGCGCGTAGCCCTGGCCCTAGCGGCCGGGGCATGGGCCAGGGGTGCGGGGTAAGGCGGCTTCTCTCCTGGCGGTGACCTGCACCTGCTTCAACATGAAGACCCTCATAGCCGCCTACTCTGGGGTCCTGCGTGGTGAGTATGGGGTAGGAGTAAGAATTCTAATCGTGGATTTGTGCTATCACGTGAAGGGTCTGGGGGAAGGGCTGTTACATAGGAGGGGTCTGCAAGGCCTTGGGGACTTTGATCCTCAGGTTGTAACACTGGATGAAGCTCTTCCGGAAAGGGTGTAAAGAAGGGCTCTCAGGTAGGCTGCCATGTGGTTTTAGTATGAGGGTACATTGCTGGAGGACTGACTGACCACACACAGTGCAGATTAAAGTCCCTTCTGTTTCCTTTAATTTTGGGTAGCTTGCACCCCTTCCGGTCAGATCCTTTCGTTACCTAGTCTGTACCAGGCAGTCTGGCATCATGTCCGAGTCTGGGTTCCATTCTCTATTCTAGTGCTCATCAGCTTTTGAGGCTTCTGCCATATCACTTCCCTTCTCCCTAGCTTGTTTCCTCATTTCTGTTATGGGAGTGATACCACCTTCCCTTCTTGGCCACCTGGGATACCTCCTATCCAGCTCACAGCTGGTCTGGTGGTCCCTGGTACTTCCCTCCCCTCACGCCTGGCCAGGTGGAGCAAGCTTTGACAGTGTGAGACTGAATGGGGCAGGGTGGCATGGGTTTTGCAATCTCTGAAACAGCTGCCAGATGGCGACAAGCCTGGTTGGGACAGGTGTGCCACACTAACCTCTGCCCCACACCCATCCTCTGTCTTTTCACAGACAGGCCTTCCCTCCATTCTCCCTGCTAGTGTCCTAGCTCTAGCTCACCCTCTCTCACCTCAATCCCTTCCACTCAGCCTGGCATACTTAGAAGCTGGGGGCAGACCCTAGGTTTCCTCCAGTCTGGCCCATGTTCTTGGGTTACCCTCATGGAGGGTTACACTCTGTGAATCAGGGGCAGAATTGAGACCCCACAGCTTTTTCAGCTCAAGGAAGAGCTTTATTTTATTTTTTTTCTGCTTCCCAGGAATCTCCCTCCCCATTTTACAGTTGGAAAAACTGAGTGGAAAAAGGCATGATCTGCCCAAGGTTTCCTTAAAATAATGCTGTGGTTAGGAGCTTAAATACAAATCTAGAAGATCCTGAGAGTAATCATAACTGTCTTGGTCTGTGTGTCTGGTTCTCTTATAACTTTTCTCCTTTGTCCTAAGTGTTTATTCTGCTTATTGTACCTTTTTCTTTAAAAGCCCTCTATCTCTTGTGGCCCTGTAGTATATGCACTGCACTACTAACTGCAAGGTTGGTGGTTCCTTGGACACCCTATGCAGTGTCCCTATGAGTCGGAACTGACTCCACAGTATATAACCACTCCCTCTCTCTCCTGTAGCCCTGTAGGATAAGCACTGGAGACCCTATACAAGGTTGCTATGAGTCAGAACCAACTCCATGGCACTTAGCAACTTCCTCCCTCACCTTTATAATAAAAACAAAACACGTTAGTTATTGAAAATTTTAAAAATATGGGTAAACAAAATAAAAATTACTGATAAACCAACTATCCAATGATAACCTCCTATTAATATCTTACTACATTTCTTTGTAATTTTATTTATACATGTTTGATAGATAAAGGGCATGCTTTAGATAATACTGACTCCTGTTTTCTTTCTCTTAATAGTCAATCACAAGTATTTCCTTATGTTACTTAAAAATCATCTTAAGTGACAGCAAGGTAACCCACCCTGAAGCTGAATCACAATTGAATGTGTCTTGCACCTTGGTTGGCATTACTCCATCTTGGGATTATCACTGTGGTGCCAGGTCCTTGTCTGCGTCTCTAGTTCGGGAGCTACTTGTGGGCCTTGGAGAGGTTCTGAGCTTTGAGAACCCTGTGCTGCTCTGTGCATCCTTCTCTCACTTCATTCACCCTGCCCTTGGATGGGAACAAAAGGGAACAAAGAGACTTGACCGTGCCATCTTGGTCCCCAGGTAATAGGATAGGAAGTGCTTTTACTGGTGCTCCTTCCTGGAGATCCATTTCTTTGGCTCTGTTCTAAGAGCCAGGGACCCCAGTTCTCAAGGTTTTGATCTAGAGTTTGTTACTTGGAAGGACTTCTAGTGAATGGTTTAGGGCAAATCACTTAACATCATACCAGGGTCACTTCATGTTGTCAGAGTTGGAAAACATGAATCTTTTTACTAGCTGCAAAAAATTCCATCAGGGGATGGATGTAGCAAGGGTTGGTATGAAATGCAAACCAGTCAGTTTAGCTCACTGGGATCTGCTTGGTGAATGACTGGGTGGGGTAGGGAAGGGTACTGAAGGAAATTTTTTGTTATCTGTCCATCTCCATTAGACCTGCTTTCTACATCCTTAATCCTTGAAGACACTCCCCAGTGGCCTAGTTTGGTTCTGTGGATAAGCTTCCCATGTTGTGAGGTGGTGAACATCCTGTCAGTGGCCGTATTCAAGGAGAGACCATGGATTCTGAGAAGGGCAGTCCTGTGCTGGGTGAGAGATTGAAATATATACACTAGCAACTGGTTCCTTTGTCAGAAGAAGAGGCCCAGCTCTGGGGGAGTTTGGTCTGGTGGATGTGTGGTTATTTGATGGTGGGGAATCTGAGTTGCTATTTTCTTATTTCTGGGGAATTACTAGACATGGAGGCTGCAGACTTAGCCACATTTGTAACCCTGTCTCTTCCCCTGTGCAGGGGACACACCTGCCCATAGCCCTGGTGTGATACAGGACCCAAGTATCACAAGATGGTGCTAGCCCCAGTCAAGTTCTGAGCTGATTTATTTTGTGTGACTCTAAAACTGCTTCTCGGAAACCCTCTACAGGGTTGCTGTGAGTTGGAGTCGGCAAAGAGCAAGCCCAGGAACAAGGGTGGGATTTGCCAAGGGAAGGGAATGGCTGATGGAATGGAGGGCAGGTTTTGCTGTATTGGAGGAATCCTTTCTAATAGTTGTTGAGGACTGCAACCCACTGGAATGGGTAGGGATAGAGATTCCCACCACTGGGGTATGTAAGCAGGGGCTTGGTAGGTGAGAATAAGTAGCTAGATTGTTGGGAGTGACTCTGGATCCAAGGTTGACAGTCCTAAATCATAGGATGAGAACATCACTCAATGTTTCCCTCTCCTCTAATTCTATGAGTTTCCTCCTCCCTTACACTACTCCCCCAACTCCACAGAGACCATAACTGGGGTTATCTGTGCTACCAAGGACTGGCCTGAGTTCGAAAAAGAGAGCTAAGAGGAAGATGATATTAGCTGCTGGATTACTCAATGGCCAGTGTGGAAATCCTGCCCCACCCTCTCCCACCCCTGTTTTCCGAAGTGCAGTGGTGTCATTAGGGTTGGTGCCACCCAGTGCAGTATCCCTGGTGTCCCACCCCCCCTCCCATGGACCTCCTCTCATATCAGACCCTTCAGAATCCTTAGGAATGTTAATGTCAATCTTATTCCTAGAATAATATATAGTAAGTATCATTGTAAATTGTTTAAATGTGATTAATATATCTTAAATTATGTGAATACGAACAACTTTTTTGTATAATCTTTCTACAATGAATTACAACATTATTGCTGTTGCTAAATGTATTATCAAGTTGGTTCCAACTCATAGTGACCCTATATAGGGTTTGAACTACCACACCACAACATTATTAGTAACTGAGTGGAAGGCTTTTTTAGTTTTTCTCCTTTTCCTTTAATTGCCATTTCATTCTCAAAAAAGTTATTGATACAGGTTCATAAACACTAATTACCACAATACTATAGCTACAACACCAGAAAATTTGACAAAATCAGCTACTATAAAAACACCAGCAGCAGTTGAAAAACAGCAGTGCATGCTTGTAGCACGTGCAGTGAAATCATGTGATTTGAAGTGTCATTGTAACCGAGTAGTAATGACAGCTCTGAACCGAGCACATTGGGAGATTCAAAAAGGAAATTCACCTCGAGTTTTAGCCTTGGAGGTATATTGGAGTCCTGGTGTGGTACTGAGGATTAATCTGCTGGACTGCAAGGTTGGTTTGAACCTCAAGGTTGGCAGTTCAAACTCATCAGCCAAACCCCATACAGTGTCACAATGAGTTGGAACTGACTCGACGACACTTAACAACAACAAACAACAGCCGTATTGATACATATAAATTTGGCTTGGCATAGTGAGTTACCTTTTGGACAGCTAACTGCAAGGTCAGCGGTTCAAATTCACCCGCTTATCTGTGGAAGAAAGATGAAGCTTTCTGCTCCCATAAAGATTTACAGCCTCAGAATCCCATGAAGATTTACAGCCTCAGAAACCCTATAGGATCTCTATGAGTCAGAACCGATTCAGCGGCACAACCACCAACAACCACCAAACTGGGCTGATGAAAAATGTTTTTGTTGTTATAACTAAATACAGAGATATTTTTATACAAATGTAAATTTCTGTCTCCTCTATGACACTACTGCCACAGTATTTGGGTCATAAATCATAGATGCTGGTTAGTTCTGGATGTAGCTCAGCCCTTACATTATAGATTGGAGCACTAAAGCCCCCAAAGAGAAGAGAATCATTCAGGGCCATGAAAGCCAGTGCTAGAACCAGATCCTTCTCCCAGTCTGTGGGAGAAGCAGATTCTGCTAGAAAAGTGTGGCAAGGCTGGGAAGGACTGCATGTGGGACCCTTCACAGATCTAGAGCTGTTTGCTGATTGAGTGAAGGTTGGTCTCCCAGTCTCCATGATGGGGTCACAGATAACACCTTCCCTGGAGTGTTAAGGTAGTTCCCCCAGGTTGCCCTGGTTAGGACAGACAGACACAAGGAACCCCCAGAGCTTCAGTTGCCAAGTGAACTGCCAGTTGCTTCCAACCTACTTCAGACCTCCCAAACTCCTCCTCATGATGTTGCTAATGGATAGCAACAACAGCTTCATGTCCTGTCACATCCCAAACACACTGGTGGTCTTTTTGTCCTTCCTGCCTTCCCACTCCAGTCCTTCCTCAGGACCTTGACAGGTGCTGTCCTTGTGCCCAGATCTTTGCATGGCTGACTTCTCATCCTTCCATCTCCTCGGGAGAGTCTCCAT